TCTCTTAATGCTAAATTGAAACCTCTACTCATGTTCTTTCGTGAATGGCGAGGTCATGTACCGCTTCTTCAGCCGAGCAGCAGCGGGCCGGTGATAGATCAACTACGTTTTTGGAGGTTTTGTGGAGGTAAAGGTATTAGAGGTGGAGGTAGAGATGCGAGAGGTGGAGGTAAAGGTATTAGAGGTGGAGGTGCAGGTACTGTTCTGGTTTGTGGTAGAGAAGCTTCGATTTTATTTGCGCCGCATCTGGTCATGCCTAGTAATTTATTGAGTGTTCCTGTTTATGTGTCTGCACCGGTGGGTGATTTTATTGTGGTTGATCGAGCCCATCGTTCTTGTATTGGGGTGATTGGAGGTCTTGAGATTCGAGTTGATTTGTTGCTGTTGGACATGGTTGACTTCGACATTATATTGAGGATGGACTGGTTATCACCCTATCACGCTATCTTGGACTGTTATGCCAAGACTGTGACCTTAGCTTTACCGGATATGCCTCGCTTAGAGTGGAGAGGGACTCCAGGTCATTCTACCCGCAATCTCATATCATATGTGAAAGCTCAGCGTATGGTCGAGAAGGGGTGTTTGTCTTATCTAGCTTATGTTCGGGATTCCAGTGCTGAGTTTCCCTCTATCGATTCGGTGCCCGTTGTTTGTGAGTTCCCTGATGTTTTTCCTTCAGACCTGCCGGGTATGCCACCCGATAGGGACATTGATTTCTGCATTGATCTGGTTCCGGGCACTCAGCCCATTTCTATTCCGCCATATCGTATGGCCCCGTTGGAGTTGAAAGAGTTAAAAGAACATTTACAAGATTTGCTTGAGAAGGGCTTCATTAGACCCAGTGTTTCGCCTTGGGGTGCGCCGGTATTGTTGTTAACAAGGAGAATGGGTCAATGAGAATGTGTACTGATTATTACCGGCAGTTGAACAAGGTTACAATCAAGAATAGGTATCCATTTTCGAGGATCGATGATTGGTTTGATCAGCTTCAGGGTGCCAAGGTATTTTCAAAGATTGACTTGAGATCTGGCTACCATCAGTCGAGGATTAGGGCATCCGATGTCCCTAAGGAAGCTTTCCGCACTCGGTACGGGCATTATGAGTTCTTGGTGATGTCATTCGGGTTGACAAATGCCCCAGCACCTCTTATGGATTTGATGAACCGAGTGTTCAGGCCTTATTTGGATTCGTTCGTGATAGTCTTCATGATGATATTTTGATATATTTCCGCAGCCGAGAGGAGCACGAGCAGCATCTTAGAGTGGTTCTTCAGACTTTGATAGTCAGTTGTACGCCAAGTTTTCGAAGTGTGAGTTCTGGTTGAGTTCAGTTGCATTTTTGGGTCATGTCGTATCCGCAGAGGGTATTCAGGTGAACCCAAAGAAGATTGAGGCGGTCGAGAACTGGCCTAGACCAGCATCAGCCACAGAGATTCGGAGTTTCTTGGGATTGGCAGGATACTATCATCGGTTCGTGGAGGGGTTTTCATCTATTGCGGCCCCGATGACCAGGTTGACCCAGAAGGGGTGCCTAGTTCAGATGGTCGGATGAGTGTGACGCGAGCTTTCAGAAGCTCAAGAAAGCTCTGACTACGGCATCGGTTTTGGTTTTGCCCACAGGATCAGGGCCTTATACAGTTTATTGTGATGCTTCCCGTATTGGGCTTGGTGCAGTGTTGATACAGGATGGCAAGGTCATTGCCTATGCTTCCAGGCAGTTGAAGATTCATGAGAAGAACTATCCAGTGCATGATATAGAGTTGGCAGCCATAGTTCACGCATTAAAGATTTGGAGGTATTATTTGTATGGCGTGGCGTGTGAGGTGTTCACCGATCACAAGAGTCTTCAGTACTTGTTCAAGCAAAAGGAAGTTCATGATCATTATGCTCAATCCCAAAGCTTCTACTCAATTGGTTAGAGTCTCGTGCTAATAACGTGTTATAAAACAATAAATGAAGAACAAGAGTATTGCAGAGGAAAGTAGAGAGAGAGAATTCTTATTGATATTGGATCAATAACAATAGAATAAAACCCTCTATTTATAGGGAGAGGGTGACTTAGCCACCAAGCAATGAACCCTAAAATCTCTCTAAATATAGACATTCACCATAAATACAATTCTATTTATAACAGTTAAGATATAAATACGTAGATCGCTAGAATTCTAGTATATATTTCATCAAATTTCCTCGTTAGTGGGATCTCAAACTTCAGAATCCAGGACTCAATTTCTCCACCATGAGCTAAGTATATCCTAGTTCTAAGTTTCTGTATTAGTACCTGGACTATCATCTTCATATCAGAGTAGAAAGCAAATATATATATATATATATATATATATATATATATATATATATATATATATATATATATATATATATATATATATATATATATATATATATGTAAAGGACATAGAATTTCATTTAAACACATNTATATATATATATATATATGTAAAGGGTGGCCTATGGTTGACTCACGCCAAAATCTTTTTTTACCCCTAGTATCTTTAAATTGTACGTTTTATTGTATGTGAGGGTGGGAGCATGGGCGAAGCTATGTGTGGTCAAGAGTGATCAATTGAATACTCTTTGTCGGAAAATTATTGTTGGGTTTTTAAGTATATTAATGCTTAAAAGAGGGTGGATGAGAAATGGAGGGAAAATGAAATATTAGTTTCGTTTGAGATTCCCTCCTTGATGAAGGGACATTGTCCCATATTGGAAGAGGAAGAGATTTTTTTATGGATATATAAGCAATTGCTCTTCTTCTAGCTCTTAAAGAGTTGAGAAGAAGGCAAGCCTCGCGCCGTCGTTGTCGCTCGGCTCGACTTCGGCTTCGCTCAAATGATTGATTAATTAATTTTTTGGACCAAATTTATTTGTTAATAGTAAATATTAACAGAATTGTTATTAAATATTCGTTTCAATAACAGAATATTAATATTAAAATCCAACCGTTTTCAGTTTTCAGTTGTGTAACTGAAAATTAAACCGTTTTGCATAAACAGCCATTTTGAAGAGTTGCACCTCTTCAGTTTTCAGCCCAGGCTATAAATACAAGTCCATTCTCTCAGAACTTTCATACGATTTTCTGAGTTTCTCCTCCTTTTGTTTTAACTTCAAAGAAAGCAACAGTAAGTGTGATAACAGTAAGAGTGATTTGCTACCGAACTTTGTGTTCGCTGAAACACTGGGGTTTGAAGTACCACTATACCAGTGTGTAATTTGTTCTATCCTGGGAGGAAATAATCCATAACCTTGGATACTAGGAGGGGATTAATAGCCCGTTTGGCCAAGCTTCTAAAATCAGCTTATTTTGAGAAGTGCTTTTCTCAAAAGTACTTTTAAAAAAGTGCTTTTGGTGAGAAGTAGTTTGTGTTTGGCTAATTAATTAGAAAAGCACTTTCGAGCAGTAATTAGTGTTTGGCCAAGCTTTTGAAAACTGCTTCTAAGTGTATTTTTCTCAAAAGTGCTTCTGAGAAAAATACTTTTGGAGAGAAGCTACTTTTTTCTGCTTCTCCAAAACTGCTTCTGCTTCTCTTCAAAAGCACTTTTTTTCCTTCCAAAAGCTTGGCCAAACACCTCAAATTTTGGCCAAAAGTGCTTTTGGCCAAAAAAAGCACTTTTGGCCCAAAAAAAAGCTTGGCCAAACAGGCTATAAATTCCTTAAGGAAACACTCTGAATTTAGTGAGCTCGAATTAACTTTTGTTTTGTTTATATTTTCTGTTTATATGTTGTTTTATCTTTTCCAGAATTAGTTTACAAATACAGTTTAATAACAGTTATACCACGTATAGGGTAAAATATTATTTGTCATTATCAAAAGATAGTATTTGAAATCCTTATATAGTCCACTGGCAGATGGTGTTCGAATTTTGAATATTCTTATTGAATTTTCTGGTTTCGCCACTAGGGAAGTGGGAGTTTACATTTTACACGATTGTGTCCACTCCTATATTTAATTAGCATTCTTTGTTGAAGTACAGAGACTCGTGAATTATTCGAGAGACATAAGTACGTACAAAGTTATACGCTATATATATATAATGGGACTCTGTATAAGATTTTGTGTCATCTGTATATTAGCTTAATGTAGACCAGCGTTTTTGACTTTGAACCCAGCAGCCAGATTGATCAGTCATCAGATAAGTCAAAAAATGGCCATGGTTCTTTTGTCGCACCATAAATGGAAAATAAGCTACTCAAAGCGTGGACCTTATCCTTGATAATGAAAAAGAATTTATACCATTAGTATATAAGTTAAATCATAACTCTATTTTTTATCAGTGAATACTTATTTATATTGGGTTTTTTTTTTTTACCAAACTACGTTAATTTTATAAGTAAGTGATCAATTAAGGTGAGAATGTATATTAATTAACCATGATTAAGTGCTAAAAGTCTGTATATAAATATATATTATATATCTATTAGTTTGATGTGAATACTTGTTGAGAAGAAATCATTAATGGCAGCTGGTCTCTCTCATGAAGAAGAAGAAGGAAGGAAACTTCTAGGTTTTCGGACAAATGAGAACATTTCGGATACTTCTAGGTCAACAACACATTGTACTTCTCTCATTTGGTCTCTCCACGTGCCCTCATCTCAACGACTGTGCAAAAATATGATAGATTAAAAAATAACCATTCAGATGAGGAACACCACAGCTTATTCTACGACTACACAACACTGGATCCCAAACTTCAAAATCTGTCACATGGGATATGTACATAGCAATAGAATATTTTTCAGTTAGATTTTGTATTAGCTAGCAAATAGGAATTAAGCACATACATAGGTGGTTATTTTGATTCTTTTATTCTTTCATAGAATAATCCTATATATAGATTGTCTCTGTACAAAATGAATACATAGAAAATTTTCACAAAATTATCTTCATTCCTTTTACAATCTTTCATGATATCAGAGCAGTAGCTCTTTTTGGGAAAAATCAGCTTCTTTCTCCTCACTTTTCTGCGTCATAACTCTTCATCATGATTGGAACAACAGAGACCACTGTTGCTCAGCCTTCATCTGCTAATGCAGTCAACTTTGATCCAAATCACCCATACTTTCTCCACTCATCAGATGCACCAGGTATGAGTCTTATGAATGCAGTATTTGATGGAAGAGGTTTTCAAGGCTGGAGGAGATCAGTTCTGATTGCTATTTTAGCAAAGAACAAGTTGGGCTTCATTAATGGAACATGCCCTGCTCCTGCTATCACTTCCAATGAGTATCAGCCATGGACAAGATGCAATGACATGGTGACTTCCTGGTTACTAAATTCACTATCTAAAGACATTGGAGATAGTGTCATATATTCCAAATCTGCCAAAGACCTTTGGACCAGCCTTGAGCACAGATTTGGAAGGTCAAATGGGGCTAAGTTGTACCACCTGCGCAAAGAACTATCCAGCTTAGTACAAGGAACAAGTGATATAACAGGGTACTTCACAAAACTCAAACGTCTATGGGATGAATTAGACTCTTTAATCTGTGATGTTATGTGTGTTTGTGTTTGTGTGTTTTCTGGAAAAACAGAAATTGGAAAAATCCCTAGAATATGAAAGACTTATATAATTTCTTATGGGTTTAAATGATGTCTATGGACAGGCAAAGGGAAATATTTTGATGATGAACCCTTTTACCTAGCTTAGACCTTGCCTATTCTCTTGTATTACAGGATGAAAGTCAGAGAGAGATCTATATGAATCCTCTTCTCTCTGCTGACTATTCATCCTTCATGGTGGGCACTCAAGCTAACCTTGCAGCACAAGAAAATTTTGTGCAAAGGAACAACAAACAAGGCCAAAGAAACACTGGGCAATTTCAGCAGCAATCTCAGAAACCATGGAACAACATGCAATTTCAAAGATCAGGAAGCAATATGCAGAAAAATGGGAACACTCCACAAAGAAACTTTGTTTCAAAAGGAAAGAAGCACAAGTTCAACCCTAACTTATCTCGCACCCATTGCAAGAAAATAGGACATTCAGTGGGAGATTGCTATAGAATCATTGGTTTTCCTGAAGATTTTGAATTCACCAATCCTACAGGTTCTCAAGTTCAATTCAGAAGCAATGGAGCTATAACAAGGGAACAGGGAGAGGATGCAAGCAACTATTCTGAAGTTCTAAACCTTTGGCACATTAGATTGGGTCATTGCCTTTTTCATCAATGAAGCATCTTAGTTTTATTTCAAGTTTTCCTAATTCTGAATGTTTCTGTGAAATTTGTCCTCAAGCTAGGCAAACTAGGATTCCTTTTCCTTTGAGTCAAATTACTTCCAAAAGAGCATTTGAATTAATTCATGTTGATACATGGGGATCCAATAAGGAATCCACTTACAATGGTTTTAAGTACTTCTTGACTATTGTGGATGTCTTTAGCAGAGGAACTTTGACTTTTTTTGTTAAGCACAAAGTCTAATGCCTTTTCAGTGTAGAAGGATTTTCTCACTATGGTTGAAAGGCAATTTTGGGTGAAGGTCCAGAAACTAAGGACAGACAATGCATTTGAACTAGAAAAAGGCTCTCAATAGGCTGCCTTCTTTAGTTCCCAAGGGATTTTGCATCAAACATCTTGTGTAGCCACACCTCAACAGAATGGGATTGTTGAAAGGAAGCACAGGCATTTTCTAGAAATGGCAAGGGCTTTGCTGTTTCAATCCAAGGTGCCTATACCATACTGGGGAGAATGTTTGTTGACAGCGACCTATTTGATCAACAGGCTGCCCTCTAAGGTACTTCATGGCAAGACACATTTTTCTATATTGTTTAACCAATCACCTTCTTATGAAATGCTTAGGAGTTTTGGATGTCTTTGTTTTGCATCTACACTATTTAGTAGAAGGAACAAATTTGAGCCTAGGGCTAAGGCATATGTTTTCTTGGGATATCCTATGGGTCAAAAGGGATATAAAGTGCTAGAATTAGACACAAAGAGAGCTATTGTATCCAGGGATGTTCACTTTTATGAGACCAAATTCCCTTTTGCCTCAAACACCTCATCTCCAGATCTTATCTTTCTTACTCCCACACCAGTAGAAACAACCTTACCTGAACCTTCCCCAAACTCTCCTTTACCTGAACCTAGTATTCCTCAAACACCCAGTCCTTCTAGAACTCACTCACCAACCAACACTACTCTTCAATCCCCTCAGTCTTCCTATCCCTCTGGTTCTACTAGCTATGAGGAGCATCCCACACCTGCACCTACACCAGCAGTAAGAAAATTTACCAGAGTCACTACATGGCCTAGTCATCTAAAGAATTTCATTTGTGACAACATCTACCTCACAGACCTAACCACCTCATGTTTTGTTCACCCTTCCCAACCTAATATTTTATTTCTTTTGGAGCCCTTTCTAGTCATAATCAGCAGGTAATGCAGTCTATATTAGCCATCTCAAAACCTAGCAGCTTCTCTGAAGCCTCTAAGCATCCTGGGTGGCAGCAAGCAATGCAATCAGAGATTGATGCTTTGGAAGCTAATCAAACTTGGGATGTGGTTATCTTACCAAAGGGAAAGAAAGCTTTACCTTGTAAGTGGGTTTACAAGGTAAAACATAATTCAGATGGGTCGGTTGAAAGGCTTAACGCACGACTAGTAGTCAGGGGGGTTATTCAACGAGAAGGAATAGACTACACTGAGACATTCTCCCCTGTGGTAAAGATGACTACTATACGATGCTTATTAGCCATTGCAGTCAAGAAAGACTGGCCTATTCATCAAATGGACGTCAATAATGCATTTCTAAATGGTACTTTGCAAGAAGAGGTTTTTATGAAGTTTCCAGAAGGATTATCTCCACCTACTGTCAACCATGTGTGTCTACTGAAGAAATCATTGTATGGGTTAAAACAGGCATCACGACAGTGGTATGCCCGTCTTGCAGGTGCCTTAAGTTATAAAGGCTACTCCTCATCTCTAAATGATTACTCTTTATTCTTTAAAAAGAGGAATAGCCTAATCTCAGTTGTAGCCGTTTATGTTGACGACATACTCATTAGTGGAGATGACGCAGAAGAGATTACTGATCTTAAATCTTTTCTCAACACTGAATTCAAAGTCAAGGACTTGGGAAACCTACTTTACTTTCTAGGCATGGAAATACTTCGAGAAAAACAGGGCATTATTATGTGTCAAAGAAAATTCACCTTGGATTTATTGAAGGAATTTGGTGTCTCTGCTATCCCTTGTGTTTCTTCGCCTCTAGAGCCTTCTGTCAAATTGAATGCCGAAGAAGGGCCTTTGCTCAGTGATCCCACATTTATCGACACCTTGTGGGGAAGTTGAACTACCTAACCCACACAAGGACCGATTTATCCTTCACAGTGTTGAAATTAAGTCAGTATATGCAGCAGCCCAGGTCTTCTCACTTCACAGCTGCTCTTCGAGTATTAAAATACTTGAAATCATACCCAGGACAAGGGATTCTTCTAAACTCCGATCCCTCACTTTCTTTGTTAGCATTTTGTGACACTGACTGGCCTTCTTGTCCAGACATTCGAATATCTATAAGCGGCTTCTACATCACTCTTGGGGGATCTCCAATTTCTTGGAAATCGAAGAAACAAGCCTCTATCATTATCATCAGCTGAAGCGGAGTATCGCTCCATGCGTAGAGTTGTAGATGAGCTCACTTGGCTCATGCGTCTTCTCTCCGATATCTCTGTATCACCGTCTTTGCCGGTGCCGATTTTCTCTGATAGCGAAGCAGCTATCAATATTGCTCGAAACCCTGTCTTCTACGAAAGAACGAAGCATGTGGAACTCGATTGCCTCTTTGTTCGGCAACAGTTCCTTTCTGGACTGATTTCCTTTCTTTTGTTCCCCCTTCGTCTCAACTAGCCGATCTATTCACCAAATCTCTCTCAGGTCCTTCACATAGATCTGCAATAGGCAGGCTGGGGGTAATTTCGTTACCCTCCACCTTGAGGGGGGACGTTGAGAAGAAATCGTTAATGGCAGCTGGTCTCTCTCATGAAGAAGAAGAAGGAAGGAAACTTCTAGGTTTTCAGACAAATGAGAACATTTCGGATACTTCTAGCTCAACAACACATTTGGACTTCTCTCATTTGGTCTCTCCACGTGCCCTCATCTCAACGGCTGTGCAAAAATATGATAGATTAAAAAATAACCATTCAGATGAGGAACACCACAACTTATTCTACAACTACAGAACACTGGATCCCAAACTTCAAAATCTGTCACATGGGATATGTACATAGCAAAAGAATATTCTTCAGTTAGATTTTGTTATTAGCTAGCAAATAGGAATTAGACACATGTATAGGTGATTATTTTGATTCTTTTATTCTTTCATAGAATAATCCTATATATAGATTGTCTCTGTACAGAATGAATACATAGAAAATTTCCACAAAATTATCTTCATTCCTTTTACAATCTTTCAATACTGGTAAGTAAATAATGTTATATTATAATGATATTGTGCGAGTTTAATTTGACATATATGCGACTTTTACATTTTAGAAGCATCAACTTTAGAATAGTACCATTCTATTATATTTAACAGTTTTTGCTATCCTTTGATGACAACCGTGGAATACAAGAAGATTTTTGGTTGAATTATCTCTGCCTCGATTGATTGGAATTATTGATTCACATGATGACGGCATAGTAGTCGTTTGTTTTTTTGTTTTTGTTATCTTTGGATTTTGATAGAAAGATTTTACCTCATCTAATAAACATTGACATATATACTACTAGTTGGTTATAATAGTTTGTATATTTCTTCCTTTCTTGGCATTTCGGCAAAAGATGAATAGTTTTTGTCATAAATTTTTCCAAATAAGTCAATTAGTTCCGATAGTCAAATAACATCGCGGAGCAAAGGACACTACTCATTTTTTACAGTCAAAAGTTGAGAAGAAAAATACATGTTTTGACAAAAATTAACAAAAGGCAAAACAAACACGTACATCTTTATATCAAGCTTGATATGGCATTTTATAAAAAAATAAAAAATATCCTGTAACAAGTTAAATTACTTTGATATGTAAATATTCTTTGAGTTAGGCATATATATAACTTAAACTCTTTGTTAATAAGTAGTACTTGTTATAGCTGTTAAGATTAGTTATTCTCCTAGCTTAGCTTAGTTAGTTATAGGAGCAGAGTTGTTAGTGTTAGTTATCAGTTAGTGGAGTAGTTAGTGGTTTGTTAAATGACAGCTGTAGAAGCTTTAATTAGCTGATTTCATTTTCTTCATTTCCTTTTTGTTCTCATTTGTATATAGTGGACACTTCACTCACTTATCTTTAGAGAATTGAAATTCTAGAAACTTCTTCTATCTCCTTCTTCATCATTTTCTTCACTGTAACCTCCCATGGCATAGAGGTTCAGATCTCATCATCATTGAAGCTCAACTGAGCTTTGAGCTACTGTTTCATTGAGAAATCTGATATGGTATCAGAGCGAGGAGCACAAATTTGGGCTCGTCTCTCTGAATCTGTTAGTTCTAATTCCGTCAATCTCGATTTCAATTAGATCGCACACATGCATGTTCATTTTTCCATAGATTTCAAGCTACAATTGTGAAAAGGCTATATTCTGCTTCTGAATCTGTAATCACTTGGAAATTGTTGTGTGATTTGTAATCGCTATTTTTTAGTCCTTAATTGTTTAGAGATTTCGTACTGTATGAGATGACTATTGTCGAAGATGATGATCAATCTACACCGTCCATGGATGAGTCTCCTAATCAGTCAAGTGTTGATATCAGTAGTCCCTTGTATATACATCCATCTGATAATCCCGGAGAAGCTTTGGTTCATGTTCCATTTGATGGCTTTGGATATCGATCATGGAGAAGGGGTGTAATGCGAGCCCTATCAGTGAAAAATAAGTTGGGATTCATCAACGGGGAATGCAAAAGACCAGATCCAGATTTATCAAACGATTATGGAAAAGATGCGATGACATGGTCACTTCATGGATTCTGAATTCCTTAGCCAAGGAAATTGCAGATAGTGTTGAGTATGTAACACATGTAGTTGAATTGTGGAGAGAACTTGAAGATCGATATGATCAAACAAATGGAACAAAACTGTACCAGATCCAAAAGGAAATCAATGATCTATCCCAATAAGCCCTTGATATCATTGGTTACTACACTAAGATAAAGAAGCTATGGTAGGAACTCAACTCTTTGAT